ACAGGATGCAGCAGAAATACCTTCTCTCTCATATATATATATATATATATATATATATATATATATATATTTTATTTAAAATGATTCAAATGCTACATAAGAGTTCTCATGTTTCAAAACAAGAGCCGAAAACGTCAATATAATTATTTGAATTAAATTGAATTAAAGTACTAAGCTCTGTTCCATCTTCAAGCGAAAAATAATTGTATTTATGCCCTACTTTTGTATCGAGCACTATTTTTTTAAAATAATAACAAAAATACTAAAGAACTTTGGATTATTTACCTAACGAGTTCTTTCCTATTTTCTATATATTTTACACACACACACACACACACACACACACACATATATATATATATATATATATATATATATATATATATATATATATATATCACGCATAATGGTAAAAAAACTAGTAGAGTGGTGTTCTCATCTAGCTAATGTCGGAAGTATTTCTGCCGCACTCTGTAATAGTTTCTTCATAGTATGGAAAAAATTAGCATAACGATTATTAGTAATTAAAATATTTGTCTTTATTTAATTAAATGACTTGTCTATTGTCGGTTTCTTTGAAAAATTATTTCATTTAGTGAGGAAAAATGATTTTTTTTTATAACTTTATATAAACGAATGAGAAATTATTGTATTTTTGTATTTGCCAATAAGTACGCTACCTTGATCTCGCTTAATTTTCATTAACTATGATCGATTTTCATAAAACTCTGTGAGACATATATGTGTGTTTCTCTTTTGATAATTAATAATCATTTAGTATAATGATATGTCTACATTAATAAATGTGAAATTGGAGCTCAATTCTCCCACGAATTCTGAGGTTAAAAGGTCCTAACTCTATAGTAGGTATTTACAAAGGTATTTTAAAAGGTCCAAACTTTATAGTAGGTATTTACTTAGGTACCTCCACGAGATCGCTTAAAAAAGCATAGCATGATGAAAAAGACGCCAAACTTGACGAAAACAAAATTTTATCGTCTAAATGTTTGTTATTATTAAGAGGAAAGATCAAAGTATTTTTGGGGTATTTTTTTACATTTTTTAATCGTTCCTAGCACGTCCGAAATTTTCATTTATGGAAAAATGTCGTAACTGAGATTAATATAAAAATAAGATCATATAAATTTCATAAGATGATACTGATACTTGTAGGTACCCTTCTCAGTTGAAATTGAAAAATCAAATTAACTTCTCCACAGGTGTTTCGCAAAAGTAAAGGCCTTAACAGCGGTGAACAATACTTAACTCAAATAACGCAACTTAATTGTATTCTGGTTGGTCTTCCGTACTTTATAATTACAGCCCGATTATAAACACAAAATTACATTTCTTAATTACTGTGAGTCTTCTGATTAGTCAAAACAATACAATTTACAACGCGCTAAAAAAAAAAAAGATCTATCTCATAAAGACACTTAGGAAACCCGATGCTTCTTTTAACTAATTTTATAATATTTTAACAACTTAAACGTAAAAATGTATTATAATTAAAGAAATAACAAATAATTGTATTAAAAATTCATTTTTCATCGAAAAATTTTTTGCTTTCAGAAAATATTGTCCATATTCATAAAAACAACTAAAAGCAAATAAAAGCATTTGAAATTAAATAATATCTTTGTTTTATTGAGTTTTGTATATTACAATTCAGAGCTGATTTTCAGGTGGAGTGGGGGTCCAATTAAAAACAACAAAAAAAAAACAAACAAACATGATTTGCATTCCTCAAATCCTTGTGCTTTTAACTATTGTAATCACTAAACCTGACGCTATCGAATTTCTAGTGTTTTCATAAAATTAGTTATGGGCTGGGGTAATAAATATAAAAAAAAATATTTCTGCCATGACGTTAATAAAAAAAAACATTTATAATAATTTCGATCATCTGTGAATAGTTTCTGAAAGTTTCATTAACATCCGATAATTATTTTTATTTTTGCAAGATTTTCCAAATTAATGTGTCACACACACTCACAAAAAAAAAAAAACCTGCTAAAAATTGTATATGCTATTTTACTAGTTCCGGTGATACAAAGGGAAACGAGGTTTATTTAATCAAAATTTAGAATGTTCTAAAAAGAAGGAAAATTTTTTTAAAATAATTAAAATAATCTTTGATATTTCTTCTTAATAATAATATAAACATTTAGACGATAAAATTTTGTTTTCTTCAAATTTGGCGTCTTTTTCATCATGCTATGCTCTTTTTTTAGCGATCTCATGGAGGTACCTATACTTGACCCACCACCACTACGAAGTCAGGTTGTGACACAAGGTCGCTTTAATATGGGGGAACCCAAGCGCGTACACTCAGGTTAAGGACAAAAATTCCCCGAGACCCCGCAACCATCATTTGCCCTCGTCTCGGTGCGAGCACCGATCTCTCTCCCTCTCTCTCTAGTGCAATGAGAGGGCGCAGCTTCGGGCAGCTATTTCCCAGGGCTGGGTACCTCTCAGTATAATTTTCCTCAGTTGCGACTCTCTCCTTTGACGCAGCCGCCCCTGAGCGCACTCTTCCCGAAGGCAGAGACGCAACTGAGAGATGATAAATAAACGTATTACAAACTACTCTACAGAAATTTACACGCTAAAAGCTCAATATCTGAATTTTATATTATCTACTTCTAGGTGATATCACTTTTCAGGTTTAAGTAAATTGCATATTGATTTAAAAAAAAAGTATATTTCATTAATTAACTGTCCTTCATTACTGTTCTTTTATTCGAGGATTGTTTTGATTTTCATATCAAAAGCAGTTGTTTAGGAATATAGTCTTATATAGTGCAGAATAGTGCTTGAAATTTGCAGTTTACTTAGCCTTCAACAAGTTGGCATCTATTTGTAAAACTTTCCTTAACTATAACAAGCCTGCTCCCATACCCAACCAATTAATTTCTTCTGTATTTACAGTCATATTCTTTGAACAAATATATTGAACGTCCACATCCCCTTAAACATTTGATAAATAGTGAACATTAATCCCATAGAAAAACAACTAATTTTTCATAGAAAAATTACCAGATAACGAGCGTGCGAAGCCTGCGAGTTTTTTTTTTAATAATGGCGAAACCCCTACAACTACAGAGTTGAACTGAGTACTTTTTGGTCCTCCTTCATATATCCAGTAATGATACAGTCATTTTAATATTAGTGAGAAAAATAGCCTATCGAAAGCAATGGCACCTGAGTCCACTTCAAAGCGCATGTTGTAGTTTTCCAAGCAAATACCACTCGTCCTGGTTATGACGCTGAACTACATCCAGCAGCAAGGCCTCTGATCGCGAGGTTTTGAGGAGCGTGGAACCACCTCTAAATTGGTGGTGTTCCCAGGTCCACCCTCACTGAAATCCATCCCCCAAACAAAAATCAACAATACATTTTTTAATAGTAAAATGACCAATAAAACATTTTATGATCTAAAAAAAAATATATATTTAAAAAAAAGCATACCTTTTACCCTGAAAATATAAAATTATGTACAAAATATTTAGATTTCGGCATTTAATACTTCCTAAAGGTTGATATGCTGCTAAATAAAATCAAGCATCTATAAACATTAAGAAATTATCTAATATTAGGAAAATAAAGTTTTAGCAAGATTAGAGAAAGTTATCTTAGTGAAAATAAGTTCAGTACATCCCTAAAATTATAAAATGAAAGCAAATTTATGTACAGTGATTAAAATGTATCATTTTTTTTTTAATTGACAATAGTTGTAAGAAAATTATAGATTTTTTAAAAGCTTTTACTTGATGATTGTCTCTTTGAAAATAAATTCGCTTTAAAGAAATATTATTTTTCTGGCTCTTTTATTTGTAAAATAATGATTTTTTTTTCATTTTTACATGTTTAAATCACCACACGACTTTGAACTTGCTTAAATTAACAATATTTTTTTTCTATTTTATTAATATAAATTATCTGTAATGTTAATTTTTTATATTGATATTTTAACCTAAAAAATCTCCATCTACATAAAATTTATATAATTTCTTTCCTTTTTCCGTAATTAATGGATATTTATTGCATAAAAATACAATTATGGCAGAAGGCCAAAAAAGGGTAGGGGTTGAGGCTGGCCCACACTAACTATCTTATACCTAGCTAATCCGATTCACGACCCATTCACTCATTACAATTTGCACATTCACCATAAAAACTCGTCCGTCACCAATCAATCCTCCATACACTATAACTTTTTCGTAATTAATGTCCGTTTAATGTAACCGATATTAAAAGTGAAGGAGCAAATGTGTATTTCCATAAAGCAGTAGACAGAAATATATTTGTGAGGCTGCAGACGACAGAAAGAAAGTGATTAGTATTATTACGTCATTTGTTCCGAAAAAATGGCGTTTGTTCTTTAAAAATGGAGAAAAATTATGCATGTTCATGTCTACCCATTCATATACTGAAATAATTTTGTATTATGTGTGGCTAAAATTAACGTCTTTTTGAAATTCTACATATCATTAGGCTGGCATGACATAGTAAAATTCATACTTAGTGGGTGGCGTTCGTCTACCTTTTGCTGACGAAAATTTTCCAATGTCAACTGTTTCAGTGTGTTAAGGAATTTTTAGAAATGCCCTGGTAGTTTGTACGATTCTTGTTTGCTTTGCAATTGGTCAATTTCAGTTCGTAGTGTTTAAATTTTTATAAAATACTCATAAGCTAAAAAAGTGTCTTCTCAAGAACTGATCAAAACGAACACCGTTCAGTCTTTAAAAACCTTTGTCATTGTATTTTGATTCGATACAGAAAATAACTATGTCGCCATAGACTGCGTGCTCGACAATGCTTCCCTTATTTAAATGAATTCTTATATTCACCAAGTTTGACTAAATGAAAAGAAAAGTAAAAAGATTGTTAAACGAGTTTTGAAAGAGTTGCCTGTTTTGAAAATCAGCATTTCAGGTCCTGGCTTTTATCTGAGAACGAACACCGATCACTGGCAAATATAATCCGCTCTCAGTCTCTTACGGCCATATCACGTTAAAACTCCGCTTCTCATACGATCAGCGGAGTAAAGCAAGGTTGCGCCTGCTCAGTACCTAGATGGCTGACCGCTCGGTAATACCAAGTGTTGTAAGCGTATATGTGTCGATATTGTAATGGATAATGGCTCGAGTTCCAATTCCAGTAAGGTTCGTTATATTCACTTATACACAAATACCCTTGGGAAAAGTATGAATCCATCTCTTATCACCTCCACGTATCGGTCGATTAATAATACTTGTATCATAAAATCATTATAATCTTAAAAAATTCTTAGCATCTAAAAATATTTTTTTCTTTAAAAACCTGCAAAGGGTTTATAAGCTGTAGAAAACGAATCAATCAATCAATTAATCCACCTTTCCGACTCGAGGCGATCATAGTGCAGCTCAGGTTACCTTTTTCCTCTTTTTTTTCCTCCTTTTTTCCGTTTTTTTTCCTCCTTTTTTCCGTTTTTTTCTCCATTTTTCCGTTTTTTTCTTCCTTTTTTTCAATTTTTTTTTCCTTTTTCCTTTTTTTTTCCCTTTTTTTTTCCTTTTTTTCCCTTTTTTTTCCTTTTTTCTTTTTTCCCCTTTCTTTTTTCTTTTGCCTGTTTTGTTTCTGTTTTCCTTATCTTTCTTTTTCCCCCTTTTTTCTTTTTCCCCCTTTTTTCTTTTTCCCCCTTTTTTCTTTTTCCCCCTTTTTTCTTTTTTCCTTATCTTTCTTTTTCCCTTATCTTTCTTTTTTCCTTATCTTTCTTTTTTCCTTATCTTTCTTTTTCTTTTTTTCACTTTCTTTCTTTCCTTTTTATTCTTTTTCTTCAAATTAGTTATCTGTTGTTCTCATTTGCTTCTTTTGTTCTTGATGTGTCTTATGAGTATTTAACTTGCAAAGCCTTCTATCCTAATTATGTTTTCACAAAATTTCAACTACATTTTTAGTATTTTTTTTTTTTTTTGTACTTACTTTTTTTTACCTAATCCTTTCAATTACCGATTATGGCAATCCACGCTCGTAACAACTTATGATTTAAGTGTATTCTGCAATGATAAATGGCTATCCGAAGGAGACAATTTCTGATGAACCTGATAGATGAATGAAATATTTAGCAAAGATTTACCAAATTTTACCTCATCACAAAAGAAACATACGGTCGAGAGTTTTCGTGGATGTTTTGAGAATCAATTTTCTTTGCAATAACCCAACCGTTATTGATGTAATATTCAGAATATAATTATATTTACAATACCAATCTTTATTACACATATATTAACTTGTTTTGTGCAGTTTCACTGTTTATTATGTAAACAAATTAAGTGCAACATATTTTTTTATTTAAAAATTAACACAGAATCCTGTATACCTGAATAATCCTGTATACCTGAATAATTTTATGTATTAATATAAGCTCTTTTTGACATTCTATAACCTTTACGTCTTTCAGCCAGTGATTTTAACATTTTACTATTTCAAATATTAACATTACTTGCAGCAGCTTTTATTTCTTCCGAGTTGTCTTTCCTTGGATATTGTTTTCTTTTCTCATAGACATTTCTTTTAATGATGAAAAATAAGTTTCCTATTGCAGTGATAAGTGAAAATGAATTTACTACCTTTTGAAATCTTTTTTGGCAACAGATAAAAGCTAGTTTTGCGAAATTATAAGGTGCATTAGCATATACTTAAGCTTAAAATATAGGCTGCAAAACATTTACTAAAATATGGTTCGTACCCGAATAAATTATTTTATGTATTAATATAGGCGCTTCGGCATTTTATAACCTTCTTCAGTATTTTATTCATTGATTTTTGTCTCCTTCCCGCTGACCCCCATTTTAACATTTCTTGCAGTTTCCTTTATTGATTCCCAGAGATATTTGCTTGAATAGTATTTTACATCCTAACAGACATCAGTATTAATGATAAACCATAATTATATTATTGAATTAGACTTGTGGCGATTACGTTAATCTGATGTCATTGAAATCTTTTTTTTTTTTTTTTTTTGTTTGACTAGGTAGGTAATAGTTATCTTAGCCGAAGGTAATGAACTATTGGTTTGGATGAATAAGCTTAAAGCTTCTTGGTTGTGGTCTATACTATTAAAAATATCCAAAAACCTAAAATAATTCTCTGTCTTCCTTTTGAAGTGGTTCTAATGCAATATTAACCCAAAGTCTTACTCTATCTCTGTCTTCTGTCGAGCATGGCTGATTATGTCGATGAATGACGCTAACTCCAGTCCAACTATCATGTTCATCTAATGTAGCTCTTCATCCATCACTGAGGGTTATTGCCGAGAAATCAGTTTTCATGTAATTCTTTGCTCAGTTTGCACGTTTCTCTTTGTAAATTTTTACTTGTAGTTGTTATCATGTCTTTAGATAATTCATTTCTATCCTGCATCTTTTATCTGTTTACAATCATAACATCAATTTCTTTAAATATTTTCTTGTTAATACATTTTATTACTTAGACATTTTCCCATATTTTTTGGTGACATTTTAATGTTATTTCTCGTGCCCATGCCAATGTGTTCAGCCTCTTTTTCGAATGTTCTCTGTTCAGTCATTCGTAATTTTGAATGTTTTATTCTTATCACTCAATAGCATCACTTAAGTTCTATGATAATTTTTTATATATCTGAAATTAAAAGATACATATTAGTAACTAATATATAAAAGTTACCTACCACAACGTTGACATAAAAATGCTACTCTGATCAAAGGAGAAAAGAATTCATCACGACGTAAATGTCTAAAGAGTGCTTTAATCGCAAGGTCATCAACAGTAAATCTGTGCTCTGTCTCTTACAGAATTTCACCATTCCTGAAAGGTCTTTTAATATCAAAGTGTGGAATACTTATTTACTTACTGACAAAAGTGATCGAAAGAAAAACTCTAAATAGATTCGGCTAGATAAAAAAAAATCTAGAATTTCCAGTACCCTTCTGTCAATCTGTAGTCCTACCAACATAACAAATTTAGTCCGATGAAGTCCTAAACGACGAACTGCGTCACAAGTGAAATTTTTTTCACATATATAATAATCCGCGACTTTGATAATAAAATCTAACACCACCAAATAAATTATTGTATATATTCGAGTCTAGTGGGAGTTTTTCTACTTTGTTTGTTAGGCAAAAATTAGGGGATTGCACTATACGTAGGTATTCTTTCTGGAGGGGTTAAAATTAATGCAAAAAAATATCAGGGCTCGCACTACACATGAAGTCGGCTTATACACGAGCATATACGGTATTAATAGCTTAGTGGATTAAAACGTTGGTGAATTAAGTGGCAGAGTAATCGACAGGTACCTGAAGAAGGCTGGCAGACACAACGTTCGAAACGTTGTGATAACAAAGATGAGAATATTAGTCTGAATTATTTGATGTAAATATCAAATAAGTTATTCTAATAAGATTTCTAATAAGAACACTATGAACTGAAATCTATATCATATATTTAACATATGAATAAAAACATCTGAAAATGTCAGAAACATCGATTGGTTAATACCAGTCTCATTGTTCAACTATTGACTTGCGTAATAAAATCAAACAGTTTATTGTACTCTTTCTAGTAAGAGTGTTTTTAATAGATTGCTACTTTTTTCTCTCCAATTGGGAATAGTGCATCTTCAAATTAGACGTTTGCTTCTTTACAAGGAGTTTTTAGTCGAAGATTCCATTCCAATTTCATCATACAGAATTATTTTCGTTGGATGATCATTGGATCTTTAATTTGGTCAGTTGTAGTTCCTTTCACTTGATCATGATCTCTTAGAGGAGGAAAGAAAGAGCGAAGAAACGGATGGCATTTCTCTCAAATCCATTCAATTTCACAAAGAAGCTGTTAGGGGAAAAACGAAGTGGTCAGTTGGAGAGTACCCCTAGTGAAATCAATGCTTTCCTACAAGAAACTCTGAGTGATCCAAACAGACAGCTAGAACTTATAGATAACACGTCCCTGATAATCCCTAATGCATGATTAACTCCTTTTGACTCGAAAGAACCAACTTGGGTGGAGATTAATGCAGTCATTAAAGCAGCCAGAACGGCCTCCACACCAGGTCCAAACGGAGTGCCTTACGTAGTTTACAAACGTTGTCCAAAACTCCGTCGGATGTTATGGAAGTTACTGAAAGTTATTTGGAGGAGAGGGAAAATAACTGGACAATGGAGACACTCTGAAGGCATTTGGATCCCTAAAGAGGAGGAATTCAGAAGGATAGACCAATTTAGGTGCATCTCCCTGTTGAACACTGAGGGTAAAATATTTTTTACCATCTTAAACCGACGCTTGGCAGATTTCCTCCTTAAAAATAAGTACATAGATACCTCTGTGCAAAAAGGTGGAGTACCAGGAATACCGGGATGTATGGAGCATATAGGGGCGACATAGCAATCGTGTGGTTAGATCTTAAAAACGCCTACGGATCAATACCACATAAACTAGTGGAAGAAGCTCTCTATCGTCATTATGTACCAAGTAAAATTACTGAATTAATCGCTGATTGCTATAATAACTTCCAAATGAGAACGTTATCAGGAAATACAGCGTCGGCATGGCATAAATTGGAGAAGGCATCATAACGGGATGTACAATCTCAGCGACCCTCTTCTGTCTAGCCATGAACATGTTAATTAAAGCGGCAGAAACAGAATGTAAAGTCACTAGATCAGGATTAAGGCAACCTCCTATAAGAGCCTACATGGATGGCATGACAATAACAACTACATCCGTTATTGGCGCGAGATGGCTGCTAAAGGGGATTGAAAAGCAGATCACATGGGCCCGAATGAGTTTCAACCCCGCGAAATCAAGGTCACTCGTTCTAAGGAGAGGTAAAATATTAGATAAGGAGCGATTCAGACTATCCGGGGGAAACATTTAAGGAAAAGCCCGTAAAAAGCCTTGGAAAACGTATAGATCACTCTCTAAAAGACGCAACAGCAAAGCAAGAAACAAAACACAAACTGGAAACTTGGTTAAAGAGAGTTGACAAATCCGGCTTGCCAGGCCGATTTAAAGCTTGGATTTATCAGCATGCCATTCTCCCTAAAATCTTATGGCCATTGTCTATTTACGAATTTACAAGATCTCATATAGAACAATTAGAAAAAAAGAATTAGCACACGACTACGAAGATGGTTAGGCCTACCGAAGAGTTTGACCAGTGCTGCTCTATACGGCAAAACAAATGCTCTGCAACTTCCTTTCAGAAGTCTAGTAGAGGAATACAAATCACCAAAATTAGAGCAATAACGCAGTATGAGTTATCCAAAGACCCAAAGGTGGTTAGAGCAGGCATTGAAGTCTACTCAGGAAGAAAATGGAGAGCAGAGAACGCATTGCGTGTCGCTAAAGAAAGGTTCCGCGGAAAGTCCATATTAGGCGCCGTAGCTACTGGACGAGCTGGCCTAGGGTTCTTTCCTACCATTCGGGTGGACAGAGTCAAAGGTAAAGAAAAGAACCTTTTAATACAAGAAGAAGTACGCAAGGGCGAGGAGGAGAAAAGGGTGGCAAAGATGGTAGGACTACGGCAACAAGGTGCGTGGACCAATTAGGAATCCATGATTTACAGGAAAATCAAATGGTCGGATATATGGAGCAATGGCATCAACATAAAGTTCCTGATCTAGACTGTATACGACACCCTTCCCAGTCCTACCAACCTCCATCGATGGTATGAAACAGAATCGCCACTATGCCATTTGTGTTCGCGTCCAGAAAGTCTAAAACATATTCTAAGTAGCTGTAAGACGGCACTAGCGGAAGGCCGGTATAGATGGAGGCATGATGAAATCCTAAAAGATATAGCAA